AATTTAAAAAATTTGCCGAACGTTTTCGGTCTACATTGAGACCATCATCAGGGCTAAGATGTTAAAGAGATAATAGAAATGATCATCGTTTTAACAAATGTTTGAATATTCACATAAATCTACATTTGATAATTTAATTTTAAAAAATATTTCAGAACTTATGAAAGTATATAATATTTTACTGATACACTTCTCTAATTTATCTAAAAACATTTTTAAAAACTTTGGTACGAGCTGTAAGCATATATTGTAGAAACAATTTCAATGTATTGTACAGAAATACCAAAATTAATATAATTTGAAATAGTTAATTAACTAAACATTTTGATTTAATTAAGTTCAATCTTTAAATCTTTTTAAAGAATCATAGGAATTATAGCCTAAACATTTAAAATTACAGTATTAACAAATTGGAGTAACGGCACTGTATATTAAATATGTTAAAATACAATAAGTAGACTAAAATAAACTAGAGCAAGCATAATTCAAAATAATAGTCAGACCTGTAGGCCAGCGTCTATTATCTTCGGTAATCATATCGATCCCATTAAACAGATTGTGTGCGAACTCATCGGTAGAGTTAGCCTCTGGATACCGACCACCCATTCCACTGATCACTATATCGTCGTCCAAAATAGTCGACAAAACCTTTTTCGTAGACATAATTGTAAAGAAGTAAGACTTAAATGAATTGTTTTTTGAAGTTTGTTTCGGAGTTAAGACTATAAGAAGAACTGTTATCTAACTGTGCGGTCGGACCTCATATTTATAGGTTATGCCAACAATTGGTTTATTTTTTAGACAAGCGGGGAAATTTTTTTTGAAAAACTTTCTCTAAGTAAAATTAATTTGTCTCAAAATGAACACCAATTATAATCTCATTATTATGTATGCGGTGAAGGGTTTTCCATAAATACTCCAAAATAACAATAACAAGAAATCTTTTCATTCAAAATCTGTGGTAAAAACTTTCCTATAATTCAGATTAGTATTGAAGAAATCGCATTTCTTAATTTAAACATAACATCTATCATATTTAAAGTAAATTATTTGTCAAAACAATAGTTAATAAATCACAGGAAAGCCTGTTACGCGAGTTATTGTCGTAAGAGTACCGCAAGAAATGCAATTAAAATGTTTGTTGAAAGTTTTCAATGTGTCGAAACTCATTAAGTTTCATAATAGCCTTTCATCAATATTATAATTCATTAATTGATAATTGAGTTATACTTATTTCCTCGAAAACTATATTGAATTTATGTGTGAATTGTACTCAACACGAAAACCAATGCAACCTTCATTTATGTGTAAATTTTCAAATATAAAGTTTAAAAATAAATAAATTTTGCATTCAATTATTTATCGATAGATTATAATAATAATTGTTATAATATTGTTTAAATGTGGTTTGTTTTGACAGTAAATAGACTATAATATAGTAGATATTATTTGTTATTCGTAGAAATTTAATAAATGCAAAATATTATTAAAACCAAATAAAGTGCAGATATCAGTTACAAACTTATACATAATAATATTTTATACTAACTAGTGATTATTAAACAGAAATCATGTTATAATATATACAATTAAATCCCATTTCAAATATTGTGAAATTGTTGTGAAATCATCAGAATAATTTATACTACAGTACAGTATTAATAACTTGATGCTATTAATAGATATAGTATCTATCAATGTCAATTGTATGCAACCGATTGATTTGAACAGCGATTGATACTATGTTTAGCACACAATAGTACAGTGCAAGTGACCATACTGTGTAACCACACATCAGTATTATCATAACACTATTATGAGTTAAATTAAGGTTTTGAACAAAAATAATTAATAAATACTTTAGAGTACATTTGATGAACATTTTTGTCATTCAAGTCGACCACTAGGCCATACTTTAAAATACGTACAATTAGTACTTAAATTAATTATAGAAATAATGACTAATTATAAAAGCAATCATTTAATGTTTGATGTAATTGAAAGTAATTGTGTTGAAATGAATTGAAATTAATGATTGAGTTACTGTATGTGATTTCCTAAAGTTAACTTGAGATTGAAACTGAAAATTTTTTTGACCATTTGTCCTTCAGAAATAAAATTTTATTTGTTACATGATTTATTAATCCGGATTTATTTTATGTCAACGTGTATTGTATTGACAAATATTGTCTAGAATATTATTTTATTTCTTTTTCAAATACAAAAATAATTTATATTTATTACTTTTTAATTATGAGTTTCATTCATTTTTTTTACTAGTTCCAATATAAATATTAATTTCAATTATGAATATATAATTATGTAATTATATTCAATAATCTATCATGTTTATGCAAATGACAATTTCAAGTGTTTACCTTGGTCTCTATTTTTATCATAATTGTAGTATTGTATTTGACTTTTAGTTTCAATACGTTTGCTCAATTATTTCAATAATTAGTCAATTCATATATAAGAATACAATACATTTAATTTGTTATGAAGCAATATCCACACTATACTGGTATTAACTTAATATTGATTAAACATGTATTTTACACTATACTATGTAGAATATATGCTAAATACATAATGAATCCATAATATAACGTTAATTTTATATATTATGTACAACTTTATTGTTAATTTATAGATATAAACATGTTTTCTAACTTATTATAGACATAGTACACTACACTAATGAACATGCATTAAATTACATAATAAAACATAAACTTTAAGCTTACTATAATTGAAATAAAATGTAGTGTAAAATTAATTACTGTACTGTAATATTTTTAATCATAAAACAACTTAATAAATATTTATTTATAAACCGGGACGTATACAGTATAAGTTATACTGTGATTGGTGTCAAATGAAACCTCTTATATCTACTTAACTCGTCATTTCTCATATGATTCAATGATCTGTCAATTGAAATAGAGAACCAACATTGTCATTGTCATTACAGAATATTCTGTATATTACAGCAATGTATGTGAAATAAAACATTAAAAGGTTTGAAATTCAAACTTTGAATAATATTTTTGAAAATATCTTGCTTACTATTATATTAAAGCATTATATTTTGTATAATTAATATTAGTATTTATTATTGAATATCACAATTATGTTAATTAAGAGTTACATTCAATGATCTAACTATTCGTCCCATGACTCTACTAGTGAGCACCGGTATGTGAGCACCGGTATGTATGCAATTTTTGTTTGTCTTTTCAATTGTATTAATTCTATGAATCAAAAGGGTATGCATTTCAGTGAGTTATTAATATCATAATACTGAATGACAATGCTAACTATTAATAACTATCAATAATTGTTATTCATTATTATGTTAAAGATATTGATTATTAAATAATTAATTCATAAGTGATTGAATGGATAAAAGTAAATTTTATTTCATAATAAATCAAATGATAACATCAAATATATATATTTAACAAATACTGAAATCAAAATGATATTTCAATTAACAATAATAAAAGTTTGAAAAAATGAAAATAAAGTATAAAAATATATCTAAATAGTAATAAAAATATATCCATATTTATTTAAATAGTAATAAATCCCAACTCCTAATGAATAGTTGCTAATAAAATATAGGAATAATACCTATAATATAACAAATATAATAATAATAATAATAATAGCAATAAAATAATATTATAATATAGGTTTTGATTTTCAATAATATATTGTCGATAAAAAGTGGTTTATCTAATAAAAAATAATCTGTAGTCATAGAAAACAATGTGCTTTCAGTGATAACTAAAATCAATTTACGGTAAAAGAGTTAACAAATTATTTTTTACTCAAAAACTCGGTCATAGAAAATGATATCTTTTCGAAAGCATTCATTGATATCGACTCCGGATTGGCGTCAATGGTCTCGAAGTTGAGTTTACCCTCCAGTCCCTGCAAATGAATTATCAACACAATTAGTGGTTGTCCCACAGTATACATCTGAATCAATAGATAGGGGAATACCTTCTCTGGCAGGAAGTAGGCATTTTTGATGCGTTCGGACATGTCCTGGTCCACTTCAGACACTTTCGTATTTCCGAATTCAAACAATTTAATGATCAATAGTTTGCCATTCATTTCGAGATATTTGCGTCCGATGTCTAACTTGATTTTCTTGAACTTATTCTTCATATTGAACCGATAGGTCGAGAAGAGTTTGGCTCTTTTGAATGAATTGATGAGAATGTCCTCTAAGTCGCGGCTGACCAGCGATTTGCCCACAAAGTCCTTCAACTCATCACTGATTTTGATGAGTTTCGAGTTGGGGTCCGGTTTGAGGGCCACGT